TTCTGACCTGCCTGTTTTTCTGGCGCAGCCAAGTCAATTCAGGTTTGTTTATATAACCTCAAATCATAGATTTGTGCCAGAGGGCTTCACAATAAATAAATGATTCTCTATCTTTAGACGTTGGTCTCAGATGAGGAAACGTACACATTAATACAAGAGATTTTCACAGATGATTACAGATTCAGGCTTAACCTTGAATTGATACTGTACCCAAAAGCTATAATTTATAGGTTCTGTGTCCGGGTCTGGATAGGACAGCATCTGGGTCTGGACCCGGACCGTGGTCCATATTATGCTATTCACCAAAAATCTATTCTTTTTTACTGCTCTATTGTAGTTGCTGCTGTTTTAGAGTGGGGAAGAAGAACTGATTTCTGGGAAAACTGCCGTTATCTGTGTCTGAAACCATAGTAGTTTATCAATACATTACACGCTATGGGGTCGGTGCATAGCATAGTCGCAGATTCCCGATCTAGTATTTGAGACAGTATCGGAGGCTTTTCTGATAGTAGAATTGGAATTGGAACAACTCTACTTTGGAGCAACACATGAAGAGAGAACAGTTACTTTTGTATTTGAACCTTTCAGACAGAAAGGTTGTGTGCTTGTGTGATGATTTGAATGGACTGCAACTGTGGAAAAAGAAAGTGTATATACTATTTTCCCCCTCTCCTGTATCCTCAATGTGTTTCAAACAGTCGCAATATTTTGAGGCTTTGCTCGTCACAATACTTGCACCGTGTGGCTGGTATATACCATAAGTCACATACAGCGCCAACTAAAGCCAATACTTTCACTGTATTTATCACTACTGTCAGCTGTGCCTCATGTATATGTATTAGCAATATTCTCAGAGTGGCAGCTGAGCAAAATTTCTTTCAAGGCAATACTTTCTATATGCACTTATGTTAATCTCTTCTGTTTTTGTTTTTTACACTCACCGGTGCCAGTATTTATACTTATATTTGTGCTAATCTTCATGAGCACTTACTAAATGGTTTCATAAAATTTAAAGCATGTAGAGCAGCCTGTATTATTTATGGTTCCCTCTCTTCTGTGTGTATTTTTGCTGCTTATAATATTTGGGTTACAGCACAGTCAAATGAGAATTCCTTTTACTTTTCTAAAGTGCGTTTTAAAAGTGTCTTTTTGATGAGAGATTGAACCAGTGAGAAGTTCATAGTGAAAGGAAGTGAGAAAATTACTTCACTGTGTTCAGCCATAGCAAATTACATGGCTGTTGCTCCTCCACTGTACCAGTTTTTCTCTGGCTTAAACTGAATGTTTCAGTTGGCTCTCAGCCCAGGAGTTACTTTGGTCCTGACCCATGCTATTAACACAGCGTGTTGCCTCCCGTTCTAATGACAGCAGGTGAAATGAGCCAATTTTGTTTTGCTTGGCAGAGACACTGATGTATCATACATCCTGGCACTTGTCTCATCATCACAAAAGTCTTTCTCTTTGGTTTTAAAGGGAAGCTCAAGTGGTTCAAAAGTGTACAGCCTTGACAAAGCTGATTTTAAGGAAAAGAAAGAAGAAACACTTTCTGTCTCTAAATAGTTTCTCCTTTCATCTCAACGCTGTGGAAAAAGCATTAATTCTCACTTTGAAAACCTGCTGGATGCTGATCATCTAGTAAATTATCATTTGGCTGAACAACAGAAATCGATTGGGCATTCAGTTTAGCCTGTTGTTGGACAGACAAAAGCAATGAGCCTGTGACAAAGGTTTTCTACAGAGCCAGTCAGCAGAGACAAACATTTCTTTCAGTGCATGTGCTAATGTCAGTCAACATGGGCTTACAAATAAGCGCAGCATGCCAGCACGAGCGCGCTACAAGATGTAAAGTCAAAGCAAATGACCAACAGAGAAAAATTCAACATTGTATGGTGAATTATAGTCTGACAAGGAGCTTTGTTGAAGGAGCGAGGGGTATGATTTTCCTGTTCTCAAGTATTAGCAGGGAAGTTCACTGGCACACAGCTGTTCTTAATAACCATTATTAGTGCCAACCAAATCACATGTGCAGTGATTCTTACAGCTCACCCCTCATCCATTCACTTCCTTATGATCCTTAAAATAGCTGTCAGCTTAAAGGAGATATCACCATGTGAAGCAGCTGTTGTCATAGTTAGGAAAAAAGAAGAAACATATTCATTTTGTTTGTGCAAGGATATCAAAAAGTCAGTCGACCACTTTTGCCCAGGCTGACATATCGCAACAACAACATTCATGGTCCCCAGGGGATTAAATCCTACTGACCGCTGTGATCCTTTGACTTTTCCTCCAGCGTCGCCATCAGATTGACATTTTTTGATTTTGGCTCAGACTAGAAAATGATGAATTTCACAGAAAATTTTATTTCAGATATTCAAGATCCCTGTAGGATAAACTCTAATGACCTTGTTGATCCGGCGTCTTTTCCCAACCCTTTTATCTCACTGTCTTCCATATTTTGTACAGACATTCATGGTTCCCAGAGGATGAACCCTACTGACTTTAGCGATTCCCAGACTTTTTGTCAAGTGCCATCATGCAGTTGTATCTGATGAATTACTGTAAAATTCAGACTTTCTTGCAGGGGATGAATTTTAAAAAGAATTTGTGTTTGTCCATGGTTTATGAACAAATACCAGCGGGTGAGGCTGTTACTGTGCTGATGTACACAGCTGCTAGCATGACATCGCACCAGATTTTTCTGCATGAATATGGAAATTATGACTGTGCTGCTGTTTTGCAGAGGTGGACTAAAGGAAATGCCCAGATTATTATTTTCAGCATTTGCCACCTGATATTATCGCATATCAGACAGAATGTCAGAGGTTAGCATTGAATCCCTGCAGGCAGACAATATTCAATAGATGTGTGTCTGGTGGAGTGTAGAGCATAATGACATCTGGTAATGTGGAGTGGATGTTTCACTGCTTTACACACAACACTTTCAGGCCCCAAACCCCAACTTTGGCCATTAAAAGGAATAAATGGACCCAACTTAATTCATTAATATTTGTATTGAGACATCTCCACAGAAACATTTCTGATCCATCACTTGGAAAAATTGCAACCACCGTCAGGGAATGTAATCAATGAGCCCATCTGAAACCTTCTACTCTCCCACCTTTCTGCTTAATAATTCAACAACAAGCATAGCCTCTGTGGGCATTCACTGTGAAAGAGAGCACATGACCTCCAGCACAGCAGCAGGTGGTAGAACGGCAAGAGGCTGCAGTGTGCAGAAATTGATGTTAAGTTACTTTTCTCTTTAACACTATTTTGGTGGCCTTTGCCAGGGCTTCTGCGTATTTTTAAAAACAGGAAACATATTGATCTATTGCCACAAGTGAATTAGTATTGAAAAATTATAACACAGAGGATGGTGTTTGATGATTTCAGCAATATTACACTTCTGACACCAGCTGGTTTGCAATGTTGTATCACTCAGTGTTCATTTATTAAATATAACCGAATAACCAGAACAATGATACAAGATGACTTTTGCATGTTGCAAAACTTACTGTAATGTAATATAATGTAATGTCAGTAAATTGTAGTATAAGCATGTATTATATACTGTATAGTGTGTGAATATATATATATATATATATATATATCAACACTATAAAAAGACTGTGTATAGGCATGTTTAAATTGTCATACACAAGCATTAAACTGCAGTTGCTTACAAAGTTATGTGACCACCAAATTGAAGCTATAATTACTTTATAAAGCATTTTACTGTCTTTAGGAATTACTTTTGGAGTGCTCAAGATTTACAAAAATAGAATCGGCACCAGTCAATGGGCGAAACAAGTGACACTGACCCAGATATTCAGACAGTCTGATAAAATGGAGCTGTCAGTGATGTCAAAAGCGTCATAATAGGAGCACAGAGAGCTGCAATATTAAAGCTATTTTAATTCTAAATAGTCTACACATGCAAATGAGTCCAAGCAAGAGTCTGCAGACATCAAAAGTCTGCAATTTTTAGATTGAGCAGACCTTTCAAGCAGCAGACGCTTTGACTTGTCGTAGCAGGAAAAGCACAGGTGGAACTAATGACCTTAACGATGGCTTCATTCCAATTAAGTATCCTAGTAGTGACGGAGCTCACACACGTACAAGAGATGGAGTGCAGCCATCATTAATGTTATTAATTACACCTGTGTTTGACAAGTCAGACTGTCACTTACGAGTATGACACTTAACACCAGCCAAGACATCTGAGAGGGAAATGTTATTTTTAAAAGGAGACAGAGAATCCCATTCGACCATAAATGGACGAGAAGGAAAACATATTTCATGTAACCTCTTTTCAAGTGACATGGCAGGATAAAAAAAATGTCATTTCACTTATTTATAAGGACAATGTGCATTAATCAACATCGTGTAAATGTACCAGTGTTAGCCAGCTGGCTATCTTTCAGCTGCAGCCCCATAGAGAGCAATAGCAACTGTCTCCAGACAGGGCATAGCGGCAAAACATTAGTACAATAATACAACCGTATCCACTATTCAGTATATGCAGCCGTGCAAGTAACACAAAGCAACAAAAGCCAAGCGATACTGATTATAACCAGTTTTAACATATGCACACAGGCAAAGCAGCTATAAGACACAAACAAAGAATGATATTGTTGATTTAAATAAAATGTTAAAAGATGTACATATTATATATATATAATATTATATATATAATATTTAGAAAGTTGAAAGCTCTCTGCTGGCGTACTGCTGGTCAGTTTGTATTTTTATGTTTTCATTTATCGCTTCATGTTAATTGTATTTTTCTATGTTTAACTTTATACTGAGAAGACAGTTTTTGTGTGTGTGTGTGTGTGTGTGTGTGTGTGTGTGTGTGTGTGTTTTCACAAAAACAATCTTGCCTTGTGCAGCTGAAACCCAGACCAGATTAATTGAATATCAGTTGCAATTATTTTGTCATTTGAAGACAGCAGAGGAGTAATCCCATTTGGTAAATGACTGTTGAATCCCTGTTTTAGATTAAGATGTCTGGTGAAGCAGTTGGAGAGAGGAGAGGCTTCCCTCGCTGACCTCAAGAAAAACCTCGAGTATGCTGCGTCGGTGCTGGAATCCGTTTACATCGAGGAGACAAGGTAAGAAAACAGTAGTGGAACAAGTATTCATTTATTGAGAACAATGGCGCAGCACTAATGACAGCCAGACTTTAGAAAATGGATGATTGTCATTAGTATGGCAATTGATCTGCATTGTACTTCTTAGTTTCATTTTAACCAATTAGTCTCTCTACAGTGAATGACAGACTGCATTCACACAAATGCTTGTTGACTTACTTACTTACCCTACATTACAAAGGGAAATATTGCACTTGTTACTCCACCATACATACTGTATTTTACAGCTTTAGTTGCTAGTTACCATTCACATTAAGATTTAACTGACAAAATATATGAACATTTTATAAAATATCATGCATTATTATAGATTAAACTGAACTAAAATTAGCTCCACATTGACCAACATTTAAGTAATGCTTAAATGTTAATGCATCAGTAACAATGATCTATAATAATATATAAAAATATAATTACTATATATATAATAAAACACTGACAGCGTTGATGTACTTCTAATTTTCATACTTAAAATTTCTTAAAAGCCTCTGTACCGTCATTTAAGAAGATAGATGACAAAATTCCTTTTTCTTTTTTCTTTTTTTTTTTTTTTTGTGTTCCAAAATTAAAACAGCGTATTTTGTTCTGCTGATCATATGGTTAAGTATAAAAAAACGACTTATTTGAGGTCCTGGAAAGATCTTTGTTATGACAAATTGCTGTTAAGGTTTGGTTAAGGTTAGAGAATATACCACGCCATTGTAAGTCTACGGTTAAATGCAGGTCCAGCATCAGAGATATGAACAGGCTTATGGAATTATGTAACCCTCTCGTCATCTAGTTCCAGCCAGATTAGGGCCAGCGATGGCATGACCACTCCAGGATGGAGGATGATGAACTATCCAGTGCAGAATCCATGTAGCACCATGATTATCAGTGCGATGTGAATGCTTTTCTCTTTGCCATAAGATCATGTATTCAGTTCAGAGGGTGGAGACCAACAGGCTTTGCTCTTGATCCCCCCCGTACACCCATGTCAACACAACAGGGTAGCTGCGGAGAATTATGTCGCACAATTGGATTTTGAATTCTGCCTCATGGTGTTTCAAGAGGCCTGGGATGTTTTGATGTTACATAAGAGGTGATATTTGATGGACAGCGTTGGGATTTCGGTTTGATCCCCAGTGAAAGTAAACCTGCGATAAATAATAAATATATGAGTAAGCCTTTAGTCTCTGCATCTGTCTGCTTTTACTTTGTTTCTTTCTTTTTATATTTGTTTTTGTGTTCTTCAATCCCTCCCCTCTCTCTTGTTGCAGACGTTTGGTGGACACAGAGGATGAGCTCAGCGACATTCAGTCAGAGTCTGTGCCCTCAGAGGTGCGGGACTGGCTGGCCTCCACCTTCACTCGCCAGATGGGCCTCATGCTGCGGCGCAATGAAGAAAAGCCTCGCTTCCGCAGCATCGTCCACGCCGTTCAGGCTGGCATATTTGTTGAGAGGTAAACGTCTGTGTGTGTGTGTGTGTGTGTGTGTGTGTGTGTGTGTGTGTGCGTGTGTATGAACACAACCACAATTACACACAAGCACACAGTTGCTGACCTTTATCTTTCCCCACCTGAAGTTGCTGATCTATCAACAGTCAAGCCAAAGCAGAGTAGCCCAGAGCGACTTAAAGCAATTGTATCAACATCTTTAGTTTAGCCTTGCATAAGGAATGAACGTCTACATTGTTCCTGTCAGTTTCTGTGCTTTTTTTTTTTTGCTTTGAGTTAATTTCAATTTGATATGAAAATTTTAATGTAGGGACTTGAGACTTGCTTGATTCAGGTCATCCATCACACTAAACATTATGTCTATGTTCATCTTTGTCTACATTAAATATGATTTTTATACCCAAATTTGATTAGAAAATCATTTTCAAGTCAATAACGAAAAAGATATATCATCATAAATGATATGGACAAGTCTCCATGCAGCTCTACATGATGTGTGTACTATTGTTTGTGAATGTTCATCATGTATACAACTAAAAAAGGGGTAAATGAGATAAAGGTGAGAGAGGCAAAACAGCTGCCATATCCATTATTCCAACAAATATATTATCTAATTTATCCATTTTAGCAATGTAAAAATTCAAGGTTATTGTTAATGGTAATGCAGTGCATACTTCTCAAATCTATCTGAATTGTGTGTGTGTGTGTGTGTGTGTGTGTGTGTGTGTCCTTTCAACCTGTTGTAAGTACGTGTACGTCCTCTGCAGAGTGGCACACTCACCTGAGTCCACCATACATCATCACGGCCTTGGCAAGCCTGGCTAAGCACAATCATTCAGAGAGTTAACAAAAGCCGCTCCCTCTCCAAAGGCAATGCTCTATCACACACTAACATGCAACATGCATTTGTTGAAATCGGTAAGCTTCAAGTATGTAAGATATAATCTTTCTTGATCTGTTTTCACAGACATTTACAATGAAGACAGATTTGGAAAGAGGAAGAAACCATTTCAATTTGAAAAATCCTGAGAAAATGGCCAACTTGATATTCAGCTGCATTTTATTTTGGACACTATCATAAAACAGCTCTTTTGGAAATTACAAAATATTTACTTGTATCCCACAAAAACTATGAGATGTTCAGCAACACACATCAACTTTATAACCTTCCAAATTATTATAAATACTCTCCTAAATCTCACGGGCAATTGCACTGCTTGTTTTGCATTTTGTGATTAAATTAATTCCTCACTTTTGACAAAGCTTTAAATCTTTGGCATGTTAAAGAAAAACAGACTTACAGATGCTGTTGCCTTTTCCTCAACTTAGCCATTTCCACACAGTTTCATACTGCGTTGTGTTGATGTGAACGTTCAGAGTGAATCTTGGTGGGGAACCTTCCAGGCTGTGGGTTGGGGCTTGAGTGGTAACCTCTGGTGTTTACACTCAGCGGTGCGCTTCATTTGATGTTTTTATCTCATCCAAACAGGATGTACCGACGTACCTCCAATATGGTGGGACTCAGCTACCCTCCTTCTGTCATATCTGTGCTTAAGGTAATAACACGTGCACACACATCTTAGCAGAAGGACACAGATGTGACTTTGTTCACACATAGACACATGTGTGACTACAAAGAGTTATTTATAAGAAAGTGATTTGCTCCCTCACTTTTTAAAATCATGTTTTTGTCCCCTTCACTTGTGCTGTTCATTATGAAAAATGTGGATATGTTCATCCAAGTCATCTTCATTTAGTACCGTGTGCGTGCCCTGAGTTCTGTCTCTCAGGCTACATACAGCATGCCCTACCTTATCAGTGAAGGTTGTTGGGATTGTATGCGGCCTGAAAGAAATACCTGCAGACATTACTCAGGGCTGAAAATATGTACTGCAAACTTTGTTTTTCAAGGAATGTTTTTATGCAAAGTTTATCTTCTCATAAACAGACGCTTGTATTGAACATCACTCAAAGACAAGACAGTATTGTGTTCTTTGCAGTAAAGATGAAAAACACATTATCTGTCAAAAAAGTAGCAGGTATAATATCTAAAAGGAAACTAAAAATGATTTTATGTTTAGTTCGTGGACTACTAACATAAAATCACAAAATCATCATTGGATTTGCAGCAACATCCATCTCAACATTTTTTAGTTTTTTAAGTTTTAGTTTTTTATTGAAGCGAATGAATACATTGTTTAAGGAGAAGCTTGTCATTATTAAATGTTTTTTCCCTCCCACACAGAATGTCGACAAGTGGTCGTTTGACGTGTTCGCTCTTAATGAGGCCAGCGGGGATCACGCACTTAAATTCATATTCTACGAGTTGCTCACAAGATACGACCTCATTAGCCGTTTCAAGGTAAAGTCACAAGGACATAGCTTTGTTTATGTGAATCTACAAATATTCAATACAGATGAGAATGTCTGATTTAATGGAAGCGGGTGCGCTCTCTTCTGTCACTCTCTTACGAGTTAGATTATGTTGTTGTATTTCAACAGTGGGGGGTGGGGTGGGGGGGGTTGTTGGTCATACTTCATCTCATCTCATACTGGTGAAGCTCATTTTCCACAGCATCTTAAAGCTGAGGACACTCCACTTGAAGGGGCCAGCATCTGAGAGTAAATGACACGGGCAATTAAGCTGACATGGACCTAGACTCGTAGTCTGCAGTAATTTCAGTGATTGACAGTCCATGATTTTATGTCAATTTCAAATGCTGAGGGGACTGTGCACGTACTGAAATTGTATGTGCTCATCATTTAAATCACCAGGTCGCTCGTAGGAGTTTCATACCGCCTACAGTGTTTTTTGCTTGTTGACATTTGCCGTTGTTGTGTCTGCCATCAGATCCCAATCTCTGCAGTGGTGTCATTCGTGGAGGCCCTGGAAGTGGGATACAGCAAACACAAAAACCCCTACCACAACCTGATGCACGCTGCTGATGTCACACAGACTGTACACTACTTGCTACTCAAGACTGGCATGGTGGTGAGTAGTACATGGACACTTTAGATGCCACGATGTTATCAGCATCTACTGCGCAGGAACCCGCCGGACATGTTGGTTCAGTTCCAAGAAAGAAAGCTCACTGGATTGAAGCTTAGTCTGTGAAATCAAGGGGATTTTGTCCTTATGGTATTCAGAACATCTCTGTCAGCTGACGTATGCCAGCCTAATTGCAGCTTTGTTTGACGTGCAGCTTCTAAATATGGCCTTTTTTTTTTTTCTTGGAGAATCCGTGTTCCGAATCCGAATTTTTTCATGAAAAAAAAAAACAAGAGACCAAAAGAAAATCACCCTTTAATCCCAGTCTTGCTCACGGCAGGTTTGAGAACATCAAAACCTGTCAAAATGTGACACTTATTAATGGTCACTGTCTCAGTGTTTGAAGTCAAATACTTCCTTTCTTCTTTATTCTTTTGCCGTGACATTGCTTCATTTCTATTCTCCATATTTCATGTTGCTTTTGTTCTTTTTCCATCGGGTGACCTATATTTCACTCCTTCCCACTGGAGTGACTTTAGGGTATTTCTGATGCTACATTCATTCCGAAAAAAAAAAAAAAAAAAACCTAGCCATGCTGAGTTCAAAGTCCCCAACCAGCCAGCCGCCCCCGCTTCCAGTGTTTTTATTTAATCACCTTAATAAGGTGGCTGCGACAGCTGTCGACATGGTGTGTTTCTTTGGGCAGTGCCTTGTGGAGTAAACCACATTACTGCCAGAACCACAGGCTCCTGGGAGAGCTGCAGAATAGCATCTATCATTTTGCAGGCCCTCCAGACTCCATTAAATCAACAATCAACAGGTCATTCATAAAGAAGGCCCATGAGGAAATATACTCAGGGATGGATCGGGCATCTTGCACCCATCACCCCGTTCTTAATGAGTCCACCATCCCCCACTGTTGATTAGTCACCGATATCGACTGGGCTTCCTGTGCTAAATCCCCACTCTCACTGTGTATGTGAGTGCACTCAGATGCATGCACATCTCAGAGGAAAATGCCCACTCACAGGTGTGAGGATGCTGCACACAGTCGCAGATTAAACATGCACAGCCATGGATAAAAGCATCCCATATTCAGCACATTCTTTTGGCCTTAGATTTATTTTTAGCGTTAGGGTGGTTGTATGTTGTTGGTATGATGAAACAGCTGTTTTCACAATCAGCTGAAGAAACAGAGTGAGTTAGATGAACGTATTTATACCGACAGACATTTTCACGTTAACAACTTGCTGTTAGCTTCAGTCATTGTGAGTTTATTTAATACTTAGTATAGTGAAATTTTGAGTAGTTTTTGCCTGTTTGTTGATTTTGTATTCTTTTGTTGCGTTTTAATATTTTATCCTAAATTATATTTATTTAAATCTTTTGACAGTCTTAACTCTGTTAAGCGCTTTGTACCAGCTGCTTTGAAAAGAGCTAAACAAATAAAGTTATTATCATTATTCAATGACATTCACATTAGTATCGTGGATATGAAGCTACAACCACCTTAGCGTAGCAAAAAGATATACACCTCACTAATAACACTTTATATCTTGTTTGTTTAAGCCGTACATAAGGCGAAGTGTAAAAATGCTAACCAGGCTAGCTCTTTCTACTCTGTTGTGCTAAGCTAGCTGGCTGCTGGAACACAGACTTGACAGTGGTATCGATGAGAGCTGCAACAATTATTCAATTAACTGATTAGTCAATCAAAATAATATCATTAACTGGCAACTATTTTGTTAGTCACTTTGGTGACTTTGATTTCATGTCTTTCTTTGTCGTACATGATAGTAAACTGAGTATCTTCTTTGCTGTAGTCATGAATTGCACCTAAAAAGGTTTAAACTTGATCTGAAAAAGTTAAACAGGAAACCATGATGTGATGTTTAGTCTCACCTTGTGACAGCATCAGGTCGTGGTAAACTTAAAGAGAGCTTACGATCAGTAGCCGACAAACCCAACTGAGACAGTGTCTGAGAAGAAGAAGGAGGAGTGTTGAAGTGACAGCTGGTCTTATCTAAAGTTTCCTTTTTGCTTTGCTGACCTTTCCTCTATCTCCTCTCTTTCCTTTCATCGCTGACGGTAATGTATTCCTCATGCCAAATTCTTCTCTCTGCATCCTTTATATCACCTTTCTCCTCCACATCTTTACGACATGATGTACCATTCCCTGCATTCCCCCCTTTTTTTCCATTCCCTGGCTGCCCATTCCTCTTCTCTAATTTCTGTCCATTCTTTCCTCCTGTGTTCATTACTTTCCCTTCCCGTCTCTGTCTTTTCCATCTCATTGCCTCCTCTCCTCAACACCCTTCCCTCTTCTACATGCTCCTCTTTTTATCCCTCTCCTCCTCCTCCTTATCTTCACCTTCCCTCTGTTTCCTCACGTCCCACCCCCTCCCGTCCTCCCCCCCTCGTCTCTTCTATCTCTGCCTCCAGCACTGGTTGACTGAGTTGGAGATCTTTGCCATGATCTTTGCGGCGGCGGTGCACGACTATGAGCACACGGGGACCACAAACAACTTCCACATTCAGACAAGGTAATGGATCATAAAATCAAAAATGCATGGCACTGACTCACCCGATCAATGTTTTCATTTACAGCAAGGGGGCTTTATATTCACACTGAGATCGCCTGCAGTGCAGTAATAACACTGCGGAGGGAAAGGATCCAAATGAACTCCAAACTCCTTGCTGCTGAAAAAAAAAGAGTTTGTTTGTTCTCGGAGACTCAAACGTCCTTGACTAAACGTCCGATGAGCACTTCAGTTGATACAGAGAGAGAGAGATAAGACATTATGTCATTAAAATGCTAATAAATATTTCGTTATCGTTTGGAAAGTGAATAATTCTGTTGACAAACACTCTTTTCATAGTTAAAATGTGACAAAGTACAAGAGTCCAATTACTTCAAACCTTCTTGAAATGATCCACATTCTTTTAATTCACTATCAACTTTTTAAAATGTGTCTTATTAATATTTTCCAAATGAAGATATATTTCAGGGAGGAAATCCCTCCAGATTATCCAAATAAAATCTTCATAAACATCTTACTAGCAGAGGTTTAAACACACTAAAAAATGTTTATAACCTCCATTTAATCATGTTTTTATTGTGTCCATCCTGTATATAAATGACACTGTGAATAAAACTTTATGTGTTTTAGATAAAGTAGAGGAAACCCTTGGGCTTTTTCCTCCTTTTTTCGTGTTTGGATTTTTGGATTTTTCTCAAGAGTCCTCCCTTTTATATCAGACCTCCTGAAAATGAAACATAAAAAAAGTCCACACAAAGAACATGAATTATTCTCACATTTAGCATTTTGCTAGAGGTTTACCCTGCTAGTTGCCAGACTGCACCAAGAACGTCTTTTTCACATATTTTTTTTTGCACAGCGCCCTCCACAGTGACTGACACACACAGACACAGAGCTGCAGCAAAGAGAATGACCCAATAAATGAAACTCAGAAAGGAAAAAAAGATTTCAGATCTTTGGCATCCCAAAATCTGATTCATTATTAAGTGACACATTTTACTGATAAATTTAAGAAGTAGCAACAACTTTGGGTTTGTTATTGCACTTCATGCTGTTATTCTAACATAAACCAATGACAAACTTCTCCTCGGCTTTCTCTTTGACCGGCAGGTCAGACACAGCGATCCTGTACAATGACCGCTCAGTGCTGGAGAGTCACCACGTCAGCGCAGCCTACCGCCTACTGCAGGACGACGACGAGATGAACATCCTCTACAACCTCTCCAAGGATGACTGGAGGTCAGAGAGACAGATACTTCAACAGGCAGACAATAACAGATAGAGCGACAGAACAGTGAGACAGCAAAGGGATATAAAAATCTCCCATTCGCAGCACAATGTGAACTTGTCATTAAAAAACTGGTGTTTGGTGGATTCAAAATCAGAAAAGTTGGATTACCGTCAAGGTCCAACAACTTTGTACTAAATGGAACTGCTGTGTGTGATAATACATCAGAGGAGACAGTTGCAATGCGATTTCTCATGGCATAAGCTGGGACTTGTCAAAGCAGATATTATAAATAGCTCTCAAAAACTGTGTTGGCTGCCTTCATTTACTTTAGCCACTTCCGAAAAGAGTCGGCTTTTATTACCTGCCGTTTTGACAGTCCATGATACAGCACGTGGCTCACGTTTTCCCCTTTTCCTTCTTTTCTCTCCTTTGTTTCCATCCAGAGAGCTGCGGGCTCTGGTGGTGGAGATGGTGCTGGCCACAGATATGTCCTGCCATTTCCAGCAGGTTAAGGCCATGAAGAACTTCCTCCAACAACCTGAGGGGTCAGTTGCCTTTTCCCTCGCCACTGTTTACACTCCCTGCCCTCACCCCAGCAATTAAATCTCCATTAACCCTGCAATCTGCTGCTGTTAACTAACCACCCGCTGTTTACAACCCAATTAACCCTGCCCTGAAGGGTGTTGTCATAAAGAAGCGCAACAAATAATCATGTTCTGCACTGAAACAAACAAGGGATGATTTCTGCTTCTTGAATGTTGTTTACGCAGCATAAAACACAGTAATGGAATGAGAATTTTGTTGCCAAATTTCATGTATTTTGCAGTACAGGTATACAGTGGGCTGTTATTACAGGCCGTCTCAGATACAAACACAGTTATGGCGCAGACACACCAGATTTGGCAGGGGGAACTTTATTTGAACACTGCGATGAAAACCAGCGCCAGAAATATTGCTGGCAGGTTTTTTTTTTAGCATACTGTTGTTCTGCCACAGCAGAAAACATTAGCCTTCCACAAACAGGGTAATGTTGCCTTTACCAGCACACCTCTTCTGCCGCTTTTACCTTTTTCACATGCATACAGAAAGGAGCACCCTGAAACTGCAAATCTATTATATTTTACTGAGAAAATCAGAAGTCTGGTCAAGCGCAGGCAATATGAGGGGAATCAAAAGTGAAGATGAAGTTGCCACGCACCAAAGAACTGAGCTCCGGACCAACCTAAAGCTTTTTGATATTTATTGAAACATTATTCCAAGAGGAAGAGGGAGCTACGCTTCTCGAAAGGCTTGATAGAGCTCACTCACAAGTAGTCGATCACGAGACAAATAATTGGCCCCTAATTTGATATTAAGTCATTAAGTGCAAAAACAAATAGATGTTTTCAGCTTCTTAAATATTTTCTGCTTTTCTCTTTTACATCCCATCAAACTGGACTGTTGTTGTTTTCGACTGTTGGTCGGACAACTGAAAAACATTTTGTGGCATTTTATAGACTAAGTGATTAATTGAGAAAAATACATTAAGCATTAATGAAGCTGCTGGCTGCTCAACAGTCCACTAATGGTGAGTTGGTAGTGACTTTATAGGTACACATAAGCACACGGCAATACATACACACACGCACGCACGTACACGGACACATGAATGAGGGATTGCAGTCTGCTGGAAGCTCTAATGCTGAATAGACTCTAATGTGAAGTAATTCAAACTGGTCTGCTCCAGGGCTGCTGCTTAGAGTGCACTTTAAGATCCAATCTGCCACAAATGGAAAAGGAGGAAATGTGAGCTTCTCACCTCTGTTTAACCTTGCGTTTTAACGTGCATGTGTTTGTGTGTTTGCATTCGTGTGCCTGTTTTCCATTTCGGTCTGTGACTGTTCATTCATGCGTCAGTCCATTAAACAGGATATTTTGATATGGTTATCAGGTGATAGCTCAGACACCACTGATGTCTGGTGAGGGGAGGTGAAGCGTCTTCACACTGTGTTCCGCTGCAGAAAACTGATTAGCCTCATGGAGGCAGGATGATGGAAGAATAAACCCCCCACGCCCCCTCTCCTCCCCTCCCCTCCCCTCCCCTCCCCATATTGTGTCGCGTAGAGCTGCATTGATTAGTCGATTAATCAAGTAGTCAATCATGAGAAAAGTAATTGGCTAATTGGCTATTTTGATATTAAGTCTTTTTTTTTTTTAGGCAAAAGTGCCAAACAAATCGCTGTTTCCAGCCTCTTAAATATTTTATGCTTTTCTGTTTTATTTATACTTTCTGCTTTCCTGAATAAATTTCTTTGCTTGTATGCATATTCTAGTGGATGTCTATATTCCACATCTTTGTAATGAGCGTTGGTGGACAAATATATTTCGCAGGGTGTCTCCGGTGAATCCGTGCCATTGCAACATTTATGTAGAAATAATCCTAGAACTTCAAAATCCTGCTCTTGAGAGTGAAATAGAACAACTTATTTTGTTTTAAAAATGAACTGCTCAGAGTCTGAGGAGCAAAGAATGTGTAACTGCTCAAAAACACGCAGTCTGGACTGTATTAAAGTTGTTTTATTCTCCTCCTCTTCCACCGTCACTTTTTGTGGACAGATTGCTGTAGACACAACCAATCTGTTTTTTCTTTGTGTGATTGATCGTACTGTCTTCCGTTGTACTCACTCCCTTGAGAATTTGCTTGTGTCTTTCTTTCAACTGGTATTTTCCAATAACCTTGTTGCAGATTTTTCTTCATGATGTAGCTTTTGCCAGGACATTGACTAACCAGACACTGATGAATAGACCAGAGACCGGTCTTGCCTTTAACTTCAAAATCAGTCGCACCTTGATTAAACACAAGTGACCTTATATTCAAAAGAATCGGCTGCTCCAGTGGTGATTGACGTGAATTATATCAAAGGAAGTGGTGCATACAGTTTTTCTTTTCAATCTGTATGTTGTTTCGTACTCACAACAGAACTATTATAGCTGCAAGCAGCAATTTGCAGGTTCTAACCCTTTTGAGTCCAACAGAAGCAAGAAGCTGAATCGGCAAAAATAAAACCACGAGCAGCAACACGCAGATGTAAGACTCGACAAAAACCAAGCAAAGTCACTTGATTACAGTGTATGTAAGTTGTTTGTATCAAAACCTGTCCACCATTTGTCCCCCCTTCACTGGATGTGAATGAAACTGGGTGTGTATGTTGGGGAGGTAGCGTAGGATGTCTCCAGTGACTTTAGTCAGCAAGGAGTCTTGAATTATGAGCAAATGTGTGATACGCCACGCCCGGGAAATCTGGCAGAAAAATAATGATAAACCTGAGCAAATGCAGCAGAAGTATAATGTACAGAACCCCTTAGAAAAACAACAGAAAAAATGAGTAATACTCTCTGGTGGACTTCAGTTTTTGTAAAATTGTACATCTACTCTCTTCTGTAGCATTGACAAGCCCAAAGCTCTGTCCCTGCTGCTGCACACAGCAGATATCAGCCACCCGGCCAAAAGCTGGGACCTCCACCATCGCTGGACCACCTCCTTACTGGAGGAGTTCTTCAGACAGGTGAGTGGGTGCACCTGGCAGGTCACAGAGAAGTGCGTGGGTGAGTGGTCCGGTGTATGCTTCAGTGGTTTGAGGATGTGAGGATGCAGAGTCAATATGACAGGGTTTTCATCTGGCCACATACACGGAACCGTAACGTACACTTGAGTGACGGTTAATCAGTTACACATATTTATAATTAACACAGCGACCCTGCAGTAAATCTAATATTTCGTCCAACCCCATTATATCTATGGAGGAATAAATATTAGAAACCTTTATAATATAATGCAATATATATATATACTTTTGAAAGTCTCACACTATGGATCCCTGTCAGACAAAATCGAGATAAGTTTTGTCACTCCTATTATCTTATTTTTACTTGGGAGATGATCATGTGCTAAGTTTTGGGACTACAGTTCCCATGAGTTGGGTTGCTGTTAATGTACTCATGGACCCTTATAAACACCTATCACTGGATTTCTCTGAAGAAAACTATCAATCGTGACGATTCTCAGGCAAATTCTGGAGTTATAAGAAGTGTTTTTTTCTTGTGATCACTCAGCAAGATTTAGTCCCAATGAACATCACAGATAATGATTTCCTCAGAACAAGTAAGACACATTAAATCTTAAAAGTGTTGTAGCTGTATGCTCTGATTTGAGTTACTGTCCAAGAAGGAGTGTGATTATTGCGGCCACTGGGCATCAGTAGTTTAATTGCCTCCATGTGTTTGAAAACCTCTGGTATGATGAAATACATTTTTTAATACAGCCTTCAAAAATTTGCCATGAGGTAGAAAGATGAGCTCTGAAAAACACCAGACAGGTGAAAACAAAAAAACCAACGACAGCACCAATCCATTCAAGTGTCCTGGTACACTATGCCATTAAGCGAGTATGCCTTTAAGCACGCCAGTGGAGTGAAACACCCAAATAAAACACAGACGTCATTAATGTTGTTGACAAAACAATCTCAGGACAAGGTCCATTAAGTAGCTGTGAGATGTTCAGTTTTATTTATTTATTTATTTCGGAACCCTTTTCGATTACTGGCTTGAAAAGTTGAGATCGAAAGTTCATTCGCCTCTTTGGGTTAAACCTGTGCTTTTCCTGCTATTTGAAAATATCTGCACTGTTGGACCAGGTGGGGGGAGTCGCAGAGTTTTCCTAGGATTTCTTGGGATTGTCAAAAGATGAAACACTAGATCTGAAGTAGCATTGATTTATTTATTATATTCTCAACATTGCTTTTAGCCGCTCCTTTGGTGCGGGCGTTACAGATCGGACTGTTTGCAAGATAAATGTCAGTACAGTCGAAAAGTTTTCTTCCAATTCAGCCCCACGTTAGTCAGGTTTCTTTCACACGGTTGCAGACTCACACCAAGGATAAAATAAGGAAGACATTGTGGAATGATTGTTTTAATATGGCACTTTGGCACAAACCTGCCCTCTAAAGCAGTTACAGCACATCTGTAAGATATGCAGCCATGTCCATGAGTATAATTATATAATCTTTTGTCATTTTCAAATATGATGCCATGACAAGCACCATGGAAAATTAAAATGTAGAACATTATCTCTTTGATAAAACAATGCATTTGGCTATAAATAATAGATTGTGTATTAGTAAATGTGAGCAAGAAGGACAGACGTTCATCTGGTGCCACATTGCTTTCATCTCTTCCATTATTAATCCACATTGTCTTCATTATCAGTGCTATTGTTGTTGTGGCTGCTTTCACAAGGCCTTTGTCTCCCAGGATGTGAATTGCTGATAAATAGCTTCTCCTCCCGTCTCCACATTTCATCTGTTTATGACAAACCAGAAGAGAAAATGAAACACGTTTGTGGCCCAAAAGCACTTGAGGCGGGAGCCAGACAAATCGAAAGCCTGTTGATAGAAGTGTGAGCATATGGTGTATGGTGGTGGTGTGCATATGTGTACAGTGTAAGTGTCCGTTTATGAGCGAGTGCATGCACAGTGAGCTGTGTGTGTACGCCTGGAGAGTCGGGAACATTTTTTCTAGGAACCAAAGACTGAGAATGATTTTGACTGAGAAAGCTGCTGTATTTCCAGGGGGACAAAGAAGCAGAGCTTGGGCTGCCGTTCTCTCCGCTCTGCGACCGAAAGTCTACAATGGTGGCCCAGTCCCAGATCGGTGAGTGGCTACTCCACCATCACATGCACACAAAACCTGCACATGATGGCTGTAGAAGTACACAGGTTCTGTTTCAACATGAGTTTATTTGAGAAAACTAACATTTCCTTTAGAACACCAAAGGGCGTACCATACCCTGTATTTACATACATTTATATTAGTATAGCAAATTAATTATGAAGAAAGTGGTTGCTGTGCTTTCTATAGTAACAATGGTATTAAAAATATATATAACATTCCCGATAGAGTTGATACTGTATGATGAATAATATTGGATTTCTTCAGTTTCAATGTGACAAGAGGCGAGTGAGTGTTGTTTTAAGACTTAACCTCCTAGGACCTGGCATCCACATATGTGGACGTCACATTTTGGGTTCTCTAGACCACAATACTAACTTTTTCTCAACAAGGGCCTGGTGACCACATTAGAGGACATTATTCTGCCACTTAGTGGTGGGAGAAGAGTGTAACACATTACAGATTAGATTCTAGATAGCAGACAACACACCCAGATGTTCAAATGGCCACTCCCGATCCCAACCCTGCCCTGGTAAAAAATTCAATCAAATTTCATGGTTGATTCTTGTTCAAATATGTATAAAAGTATTCAATCTTTGTTATGGAAGTTAAATTTTACAAAAGTTAGGAACTGTAATGATTTACCATGCCGCTAAACATGATGTCCACATATGTGGACAAAGGGACTTAGTCTTGTTAGTTAAGAAGCAGATGTATATGACTGGTACAGTTATGAGGCATCGGGTCGCTGCAGCAGTGCAGAAGCTACCAACTGACAAAAAAATGAAAAAGGACGGAAGAGGTACCTCAGCACAAGTTACCACTGAGGATGGAAAGATTTGTGTGGTAAAGTGGTATGACAATAAACCGGTATTGATGATGTCTGCTGTTCATGCTAGAGAGCCAGAAAACACCTGCCAGAGATGGGACAAAAAACAGAAACGATATGTGACCATCCCGCGACCAAGTATTGTCCATGAATACAACTCCAAGATGGGTGGAGTTGACCTTGTTGATGAGTTACTATCGAATGAATGGCCATACAAAGAAATGGACATTGAGGATGCTAATGCACTTTACAGATCTGGCTTTAGCCAACGGCTGGCTACTGTACCGCAAGGACCTCACTGTATGTGTCACACCAAAGAAAAACATCATGCAGTTCCTTGAATTTCGCATGGAAGTGGCCATGACCTTCTTGACTCAGCGTGACAATGACAACAACAATTCTGACTTTTCAGAGCCGGAAGATGACCCAGACATTTTAGTCCAAGGGAAAAAGCGTCCAGTGAAGGCAGTCCCCCATGTCTCAATCCGCAGGAGGGCTAATGCACATCTGCCAGAGGCAGTAAACTTGAAGAATGCAGCGCGCTGCAGAGCAAAAGGCTGCTCAGGGAAAACTCGAGTGCAGTGTGGTACATGCAAGGTTTTCCTCTGCTTACA